AAAACTTGGCCATTTGTTTGCACAGAAGAAACAAATCAGTTTACTTGTACAAGATATTTTTTTTTCAATAAAATAAAAACACCAATGTATGTAGCATGCCTTAGGGAGCTATTCGTGTGATTTTCAAAAAAAAAAATGTGAAAAGTGCCCAAAAAACTATTCTGCTACCTTAATAATACATCGCAGACATACTTACCAGTTCGAGGTGTTTTATGTTATGAAAAACTGAAACGAAGAACATACTCAAATAATAGTACAACCCATTCATTCTGCAAGGTATAGTGCCTAGCCAATGCAAAGGTATGTCTCCAATCATAGAAACATTTCTTGCCCATTGTTTGACATGTAGAAAAAAAAATGAACGAGAACTTAGCTTTGAACTAAGCCATCGTAAATTGTCATAAATTTAGTACAAGTTATTTCCATATCCCAAATACCTTGCAGTTCCACTAAGGGCGAAGCCTTGCAACTCACCATGGCTACCATGTTCCAGAATATATTATACATCCAACCACAAAACTTGCCCAAAGCGCAAACCTTTTGAGTCTGCTAAGCCATTTCAATTTCGCCTGCAGAGTCATTGTTCCTGGTAGAACTTTTACTTCTCGTCTCATCGAACTTTCAAAGGTGGTCAAGTGCCTACATTACTTTCTCACCTTGTCTACAGAAGCCAAGCAGGACTTATTTATGTTGCAAAGGTTGCTAGCTAACTGGAACGGCATTTCCATGTTCTTAGATGTACATACATCATCATCATCAACCTGTATGGAGCTTTTCACTGATGCCAGTGGTGTTGGTTACATGGGTTACTATCAAGGTCAATGGTTTCAAGCACCCTGGTCTACTGAGCTTCTTCTGGAAAATGACCCAACACTGTCTATTGCCAACCAGGAATTATACCCTATTGTTGTTGCTTGCATCCTTTGGGGAAAATATTGGTACCGTAAGCGATTGTTATTTCATTGTGACAATCTAGCAGTGGTGAACATTATTAACAAGTGGCTTTCAAAGTCACAAGCTATAATGAAACTCATTCGCCACCTGTTCATTCTAGCAGCCACCGATAGCTTCACATATATTGCTGATTCTCTATCACGTTTGCAGGTTCGTCGTTTCGGGGAATCAGCCCCACTCGCACAAGAACAGCCATGCCCAATACCTTGTGAAATAATGTTCGGCTAAACGATGCAATTTCGCACTTCCAGGATGCCTCCCTCAGCACAAGGACACACCGTCCTATGCAACAATAGTGCGTGCATGGCTTCGCCTCGCCACCCTCTTCGAGTTACCTGGTGCTGCAGCATCCTATCCAGATATTTCAGAGGACACTGTAATTTACTTTGCAGCTCAGTGTGCTTCCAGTCTGCGTTTGAAACTTTCTACAATTTAGTTTACCTCGCATCAATTCGGAACCACTACATTCAGGGAGGCTATGGAAACCCCATGATCACATCCGAGGGCTTAGAGTTCACTCGTCTATCCCATGTGTTGAGAGGAATTCACCGGATACAGGGTTCTCCATCTCGCCCACGTTTGCCCATAACCGTGGACATCCTTAAGCAAATACCTGTGCTTCTGCGAAGCGGTGTATATGGCAGCTACACAGATTTACTTTTGCGATCATTGTTCACCCTTGCCTTTTTTGGCTTCTAGCGCTGCTAGTTAATGCGTTCAAACCCAATATTCATCTCTACATAAAGGATGTCATCATCAATAATAAAAGATGCAATGAAGTCTGTAACAGTGCACATCAAGTCTTCAAAGACAGACCAGTTCCGTCAGGGTTTCCACCTGCAATTATTTCCAACAGGCAATGCTGTTTGACCGGTCACCATGATGTGTCATCTCCCGTCTGTTCGCTACCAAATGAACGCACTACCTCATGACTGGCTCTACCAGAAGGAACCCCACTCCACAGGAATTTTTTTATCAATGCACTACGTCTTTTGCTAACACGGCTGACCCATGACCCACTTATTCATGCCAGCCATTAATTCCGTATTGGAGTTGCTACAACTGCTGCAACACGTCATATTCCAGAACATCTTATCAAAACCTTAGGAAGATGGACCAGTGACTGCTACCAGACCTACATCCGCGCACCTTAATAGCTTTTAAGAAAAACCTTTATCGTCCTAGCATCTCCATAAACCGCGTTCGGACATTTACCACCAGCATCACCGGTCACACATGGCTGTCCCACAGGCCGGAGGCACTACCCCCCCCCTTTGTTACACAGTTCCATGTCACCCATGCCCCTCTCCCCCTGTGCCACTCAGTTCATGTCCCCAGGGCCATGAGAAGTTCAGTTACCTTATTCTTGAGCAGACCACGCAGACCATAAACATCAGTTCCCTCTGCACCACTCCCTGGTCTGTTCAAGTTTGAGTCACCCTACTAAAACTTTATCTCTCTTTCAGGTCTCTTAATTTCATGGGGGCCACTTCGCTCCACTAGCAGCTCATGTTCTTCGTTTGGGCATTGGATTTCATCCTGGCCCCCATTTCATGGTTAGGCGGCCTCATACAGGTTCCCCTCCTTCTTTTGGATCCCGAAATCCATTGCTCAAAGGGGCATGTGCTGTCTCGGTGGGTAGAAGTGGGGCCCCTGCCCAATTTTGTAGTTTAATAATTTAATTTTGCTCAATAAACTTGTCTTTGCCTTTTACTCATTTACCGTGTGGAGTGTTTTTACAAACACCCTC